AGAGCTTTAACATATTCAGTAACACACTCCAGAGCAGGAGCGCATCTCTTTCACAAGTAGCTATAAATCTCTAGGTTCACAGGTGAATTAATACAGTTTTACAATATTGAACTCAGAATAAGCCCTGTAAGATATAAAATTGAGTGAGTTTTTACCCTTTAAAGAAGATCTCCATTTAATTTTAAAATGTTTCCTACATTTTTTAATATTATTTTTAATTTTTTTAGAAGCATATCATTACAGCTTTAACATGCCCAATAACAGTTTCTAGAGCAAAGATACAGCTCCTTCAAAAGTGGCTATTTTCTTTTTTTTTTTTTTAATTTATTTTTCTGGGGCTGGAGAGATAGTTCAGTACTTAAGAGCTGTTGTGGGTGTCCGAAATTAAATGTTTTTAACCTTTAAAAAAATATCTCCATTTCAATTTAAAATATACTGTTCCTTATAGAAAGACTCATTGTTTTTGCTAATAACACTGAGATGTTGGTACATGCATCTCTAATCTGTATGCATCTGATTATTACTAGTCATAATTGGTTGCACTTGGATCCTTGGCACTGTGTATGTCTATAAAGTCATCGGGTAGATTTCAATGGTAATGTTTATCACCTCTTTAGCATGACGTAAATTTCCATGCTTCCTTCTCAAATATATTTTTTTAAATTTGATTTTTTTGTGTGTGTATATCACACAGAACATCCCAAACCATCTCATTTGACTATACACCCACTTCCCAGATGGCACCCTCCCATAGCCTCCCTCCCCTCAACTAGAGCTCTTATACTCTGTTATCCCCACTACTGTCTGTTGTGTTGTTAGGACCCCAGCCAATCCCCACTACTTGCCCTTCTGGTGAATCTAGTCAGCCTATCTAGAGGTCTTTGTTTTAGGAAGGGAAGCTGTTCCTCATCTACCAGCAATTGGTTGTGAATAGTCCTTTAGATAAATTGGAGTCTGCTGTTCATTTTCCCAGTTCTATGCTGGTTTACTATCTGGGAGTCCCTTGGGCCACCCTAGCCAACAACTCAAAATAAGGTATTTCCTATCTGGCATTGTTGCTTGTTATGTAGCCTTTAGCTATACATATGGACTCTTAAAAAATTATGTTGGCCCCTTTAATATTTGGTTATCCTTTCCTTTTGGTGTTTAAGGCCATACAGTTGGCCCAGATAAAACAATTTATTTTTACTGTTAAGGTTGTTTGAGAATCTGTTCCTCAGGGGTCACATGGGCTTGGGAGGAGCCCCTGGCTCCTTTCTTTTACTAGTTCCACCTATGTGAAGATAAGTCAAAGGATCTACTCAGCCATGGCTGGCTTCGCTTGGAAGCACAGAGGAAATGATTTCTGTGTTGACCCTTTATAGACTGGATACTGGTTCAAGTCCATCTGGTGGGGTCTCCTCAGCCTCCTTGATCAAGAGGACAGGTGACCCACCACAATTATAGGACATTTTAGGAGATACTCATAGTTCCCTGGAACTAGTTGACCTAGGAGGGCGAGGAGAAAAATCTGTCCTTTATGTCCCTCTGTACAAATTAGTATAGGCCTCGAGGTATGTCTGTAAAACATCTAAGAAGGTTAATTCCACCAGTCTGGTACTTTTAATTACTGTGTGCCATGTAGATAAGTCTTGGTCAAAGACCAATTGTTCTCAGATAAACTTTACCTAGACATATATTTCTTGATCTGGTATGTATAATTTGTCAGTAGGTTGTAGGAGTAATACAGATAAACTACCTAGACATATATTTCTTGATCTGGTATGTATAATTTGTCAGTAGGTTGTTGGATTAATACGGTTCCTTCTGGTTTTTAAAACTAGCTAGGCATTATTTATTTCTCACATTGTCTAACCCTCCGTCATGTTTTCCCCAATGAAGGTGGCCCCATTTTCCCCCTTTCTCCCTTCATAATACCATTCTCCTATGGTCCTACCTCCAGAATAGACACAACTTCTAAAACCTCCCAAAACAGCATCATCATCTGGGGACAAAATGTGCAAACACTTGGAGCCTATGGGGGACATTTTCATTCAAACCACCACAAGCAGCAACAAACATGGACATACAAGTGTCTCTGCAATAGGATGAGTTCTT